TTTCTTTTTTTGAGCAATATATTATTCACTAAAAATTAAGGAGAGAAGGATAAAATATGTATTTTAATTTTTAATTCTTATAGTATGACAATGTGGATAAGTACCTACAACTATTTTAATATAAATAGGTAATATTTAAAAATTAAAATTTGCTCTACACCTATAAACTCTATTACTCTACTACTTTTCTTTTCTTTTACTCTATTTGTAAATTTATGATGAGTGTTAAATATTTATTATTTTTCGATTTTTTCCATTGATCAGATACTTACGTCATATTATTTTAAAGAACTTAAACGAACGTCATATAATTTAACTTTATTTTTCTAGTATAGGTATAAAATATACGTGCAATATAATTTTGTGCGGATTTTTAAATTATTAGATTTTAATAAATTATTTTTTTCATTTAACTTAAACAACAAACAATATTCCAAAATTAGAAAAATACCTCAACTCACGAAGTATACTTTTTTGGTTCAAAAACGTGTGTTGCGTTGATTACAAAATAATTGATAAATAAAAAATAGTTAATATCTATATAATATTATACTCTTATTGTACTTTATCAAATATACAAAAATAATTTATATTGCAGCCTACGTTTCTTTATGTTCTTATTTATTTATTTATTTATATGTGTGATATATCTTTATAAGCCATAACAATAACTGATTACAATTAATATTAAAATTATTTATTTGTGATAAAAGTACATCTAAATTATATTATGTTTAGTATAAGATACATTTAAAATGTTCACGATATTTTATAGCAATTAATATTTATATATAGTGTTACGTACGTATAATATGCAGTTTGACAAAATGAAACAGATGTCTCGGGAACTATTAAAATTATTTAATAAATTATACTGACCAATGTCAGCTCCCTTCAACGAGGGCATCCGACTTTCAGAATTCAATTACTGAAGACCATAATATAATATATATAATAATATAAACATAAAACTCACGGAAAAAAAAATATTTTGGACGTTATCCAACCCTGAAACTTAATCCAACTTCGTAGGGTTCTAACAACGATCTACAATAATTGACCTAACAAGAACACAATAAAGCACTTAGGTGTGTGTTTTACTTGGGTACTTGTAGAAGAAAACCCAACTCACGATAACGAATACTCCTTCATAATATAATAATAATATGTAGTGGTACCTATGTATAAGTATACATATTTTATTAAATATCTTTAAATTGTTCAACGGTACAGTGCTAAGTATAATATTTATATTTTATGGGAATGGCATTTTTTGTTTTTTTACATCTGTAAACTTGCTGAAGAATTGAGCTATTTAAAATGTTGTGTATGATTGAACGTTTAATATACTGTTTAAGTTATATTATTTATTTGACTGCAATATGAATTATGATACACGTCGACCACAAATCTCGTCAGTCTTATAGTTTAACATGGCTGGCTTTAATATGTAACCTGTTCAAGTGCTTTTGACAAATAAAACATTCCACTAGCAAAATATGAACATAAAATAGCATAAATCCTACTGAAAAGGAAATAATTAAGTACAAGAAACTGGTTCTAAGATAATGATCATTATTTAATATTTTAATCAAACTATTTTATTTATTATTAGTTCTTACAACATAACATAACAAACTTCTTTGATTAAAAATACTAATATTTACAACAGACCTTATTTTCTATAAATTTTAATCATTTTTCGGTACAACGTTTTTATGATATTTTGAAACTCATAAAAATAAAACATAAGTTATAAGTTTTTAAAAATAATTTGATTATCTATTAAACGGTAATGGTTTTAAATCTTGAAAATTAATATAATTTCCTTAATTACAATAAGAAAACAAATTTCTACGGAGTAAAAGATGATGCGGAATTTTTTTAATTTTCTAATATTAATGATATTTCCCAGAAACAATAGTCACCAGCCAGGACCCAATCATGAAATAAAAAATTATAATTTTGACAAAGATAATAACAGACAATAGTTTTCCATTTGTATTAATAATTATATGTGAGTGAGTGTGATCGATAAATAAATGTATCCTTTTTCTAATAAATAGTTGCTGTTATTCACTTTTATTAATTTGTGTATAGCAATATAACCTATCATTGATTTAAGAAAGAATATTTTTGTATTTAAGCTATTTGTAATGCATTTATAGTATATAAGTGAGAATAAAGAATACATAAAAATATTTATTAGAAATCATCACCATGACTATTACCTAAATATTGACCATTAAACTGACGGTTTGATAATTGTATCAATTGTTTGTATTTAATTAAATAATTTTTTTCTTCTGCCACAAGCAATTTTTACACAATTTGTAAATGTCTCAATTACATTTACTTACATTTACAAATTGTGTAAAAATTGCTTGTGGCAGAAGAAAAAAATTATTTAATTAAATACAAACAATTGATACAATTATTAAACCGTCAGTTTAATGGTCAATACTTAGGTAATAGTCATGGTGATAATTTCTAATAAATATTTCTATTCAATTGTGGTTATTGATAATTCAACACTGTGTAAAAAAATATTAAGTATAATATACCAGAATAATAGGTAGCCATTTCTTTATAGACACCATGATGATGCGATTTTACTATAGATAATATTACATTTCTTTAAACAGATAAATCCGGGTTACATTAAATATTATTTTGAAACAAATTAATGAAATTCAATTTGGTATGACTAACAACCTGTGCATATTTCTGCGCGTATGTGAGCACGATAATAAATACACTACATACTACACACCACACTATACACGAATACACCTCATACTTGTTCAATAATTTAACGTAAACGTATGAACATTACTGTATTAGTGAGTACTGAGTAGGTAGGCATATTATAATATTTATTAGGTATTTTAAGGACTAGAGTCAACTACATTTTTTGTACATTACGCGGAATTAATTCGTTTGAATTTTAATTATTATGTAAAGTGAACGCATTATGACTCAGAGGTGTCCCGAAAAGCAGATAATGATAGATTAACATTGTACCTGCAGCCATTAATATAGATTATAAATACAAATTGTATAATCAATTTACTATGGTATAATATAAAATAAAATATGTATCAAAAATATCAGTGTAAGTAATGAGTATTTATTATTGCAATACACCGTTAACATGTTCTAGCATAAGAAACTTATACATAGACGTATTTAGTCAAAATTGCTTAGGTTACAAACTTTCAAAATTTACATCATAAGTGTCTCAGAAAATAAAACTAAAATTCTCAAGTTAATAATAAATAAAAATCAAACTAAACAAAATCAATCATGGCTTGTTTCATAGTCAATTTTTTTTTAATCTTACATCAACAATTATAAACTTTATCATTTTTGTAGTAACGACAAAATCAATAAAAGTAGTAAAAGTACTGTACATTAAAAAAAAAATGTATAGATAGATATTTTAATGTAATCTTTGGAACTTCGGTTGCTCTCTAAATAATCCAGAGTATAAATATTTATATTATTTTTGCACTATATTACATAGGATGGACAAAAAGCCACATAAGTATTATTCAATCCACCTAACTTTACAAAAAAAAAACCTGTTAGGAATAATATATTGTTGGTCAAAGTATTATTATAATCTCAGATATATGGTTAACTTTTGGAGGACTTATTGGTTTACTTACGAATTACGAACAATTTCAATACAATAATGGTTTTTACGGCAAAACGTCATGTTAAAATTGCAAGTCTGCGTTTTACGATAGCCGAATATATTATGAGTCGTTGCGATGTTAAATTCAAGACTTTTTTATTACTTTTTTACAAAAGGATGATTGTATAATGTTTAGATTAATCTTTGACAAGGATCAGAAAACAAATCTATTGCTGAAACAGTGAAACGCGACACATACAATGTTCGAAACACCATTATATAGAATATATTTTCACATAATAGATCCCGAGTAGTAAGGTCAGACTATGAATCATGGTAACTGACAGTATCATATTTTTAATTAAATATTTTAAATCAACCTTTTATTGGCGTAGAAAGTGTATTCCCATAATATTAGACTACCGCTCTTCTTTGGATTACTCCCCCGCGTTCAACTTCGCCGTCAACAAGTGGAAGATTAAAGAAGATAACAGGTGTGACGTGCGTATTTATTGTAAACGTATAGTGTTATTGTTACTGTGTAAAATGTAAAAATATGTATTATAATCTATAATTATTATACGATGATGTTGCTTCTTAATAGTTTATTTGTTCTCGGAGATTTTATTAGGAAACAAAATTGTAAACAGCCCTCCGGTCCTACTAAAAGGAAAACACGCATAATAGCTACGTATGCACATAATATACTGTGGGTACCTGCACTTATTATATATATGTTGAACATCTATATTCTATATACATACAATAAGATATATATTGTAGCAGTGAACCCGACGAAGGGGTGGGCACGAAGGTGGAGTATATTGCGAGAGTAAAAAGATAGATTAATATATTATAATATATATATATTAAATGTGGACGGCGGTGGGGCCGGCCTGTGCAGCTGCAACTTGGGAAATAAAACTCGGCGGCGTCGCGCGCCACCGCAGTTCCGTCCGAGACCGGTGCGCGCGGTCATGTGCGAGTGTCGTTGCAGCGGAGCAGTTGCCTGCCGCCGAACGCGAGTGTTGTCCACGTGCGTCGTCCAAATCTCGTTACTTTTTCGAAACCAACGGACGACTTACGTTACTCTGTAGACGATTTTTTTTTCAAAAACCATTTCGGAACTTTGCACACCGACTCGTGCACAAATCATACGTGACTCTTAATATTATTATTAATAATAATATTTTACTTACCTATAAAACAAAAATAACACGTAATTATTGATTAATATTATTATCGGAAGACTCGGGCAGACACGACTGCCGCACACAAATCATATTACCGGTGACTATCGTCGTCGACGCCATACCATACTGCAACCGCGGTTACATACTCCAACATACAGGGACGTGTCATGACCGCGGCCCCGCGAGTTTTGGCACTGGCCACTCTGCTGGCGGTCGGGGCTCAGACGCTGTCCTACGGCGGCTCAGACGGCCGTCACGCTGCTGCTGGCGTTGAACGGTACACGAAACTCGATCGGTTCCTGCACGATCGACTGGGTCTGGCCGGCGTCTTCGGCGGTGGTGGCGTTGGCAACCGGTCCAGCCCCCCGGCACCGACCACCGACCGAGGACTGTTGTCCAGGACGGCTACGGCCAGCGCTGCCGTACCCGAGGACGAAGACGACGACGGTGCGGATAACGAAGAAGACGGCGATGACGACGATGATGACGACGAGGAGGAGGAGCAGGACGAGAAGGACCTGGTGACTCCCGGGCCGTTGGTTAGGCTGCGGCACAGGAACGCGGCTGCGGTGGCGGCAGAGAAGGACTTAGACGTATACGGAAAGGTAATGATAATAATAATATAATACCAAATTATAATAATCATTTTATTGTGCACGGATATCACGATGTGCGCGGGATAAATAAAATAATGTTTATTGCACATTTCGTTTATATACACGTCAAAATATATTATATTATGATCCAAAAAGGAAGTTTATTTTTTTCGCCAAGTACCTATTTAGATGATACGTAAGTTTAGACGGTAAACCATATAGTTTCCATTTTTCAATGTATTAGGTCTAGTATAATGTTAAATAAATTATTGAAAAAAAATCATTATAAATGCAATCCAGTATATTTTTTTATATTTAATTAAAGCCAATTTTTTTTTGTATTTTTTTTTTAATTGTTTAATATTAAGAAGATTCCACCCATGCGTTTGATGTCTCCGTCTTAACAACTTACGACATAGCAAATTTTCGATCACGAGTTTGAATAGTGTGCAGTTAGTTTTGATATTAGAGTAAATTTAAGTATTATCAAACTTTTAGGTGAGAACATTATCTATGCTTAAGTGTTGGCGGATTTCCGATATTTTAATTTTCAAGCAAGATACGTGTGCGTGTGAAATAACACAAATCAAAAATGCTCACATCTCGCTTGAAAATTAAAATATCCAAAAATCCACTGGCGGTTAAGCATAGATAATGTTCTTACCTCAAACTTTGATACTAGGTCAATTCACTCTAATATCAAAACTAACAGCATACTATTCAAACTCGTGAACGAAAATGTTCTATGTCGTACGTAAATAAGACGGAGACATCAAACGCATGGGTAGCGTCCTCTTAAACGGTTGTTATTTGCAATATGAATTGGTTGCATTGAACTGCATTTTACTTGCATTACCCAACGTAGTGGGAATACAATAAGTATAAAATTGGACAGAGATAAATGTTTATTAGGTATATTATAGCTGATCGGACGTAGGTATAATGGTCAAAGACGAAAAATCCCGACAGTTATGTTACCCGCGTTCACCTTTCGAACAATAGTAATTACAGGGTTAAACGGCCGTACCGTAAGCTGTATTTCGTGTATACGAAGGTACACCGTGACAGTAATTATTTATGTGCAGAGCGTGAGTATTATAATATATCTTATAGGAATGTCCCTCCGCGAGACTCGTGAATAATAATTATCCGTGTATAATCGTAGGTACGATATGTGTTGCAGCGTGCACCTAAATGCATATGCCATATAGTTATATGGCTGTGCGATGTGCGTGATGACAAAAAACGTTATGTGCTTGAAGAGCATTTCAATATAACTTGTTGGGTATCAATGTTACGAAACACACATTAGTACCTATATTATGATGTATCATGTATGTGTACTATGCAGTATGCAGTCATGTAAATATTGAACATTGTGCATATAGCATTTTTACACGCACGCGTGTATAGTATTATACCTGTATAAGTATTAATATAATTCGAACGATTCGAAACATATTTGTTAGTATCTACACGCTATAGGTAATATGATTAGATTTATATTAGTTTATTATTTTTTTTCTAAAAATTAAAAACGCATGCGTAGCCAATACAAAATATTCAAATTCAAAATTATAACATATTATAATATTTTAATACAAACAATTTGCAGTTAACGAAAACAGCAAACTTAAATTTATATTTATACTTATTTAAAAGGTTAAAACAATTTAAATGTTGGCGTAATCTATTTGCATTTTTATCTACGCACGAGGCCAATAATATTATGATTGATGCGAGTACATCAAAATTGATAATCGATACTAATTACTAATTAGAAATGAATCATAAACAATGAACACAATAAATATTATAACTGATAAAAGGATTTACTTATTAACGACCAATTAATCACCATTTTGATATTTATATATATTTTTTCACTTTCAAAATATCTATGCATTACTTAAACATTATAGCAAATAAAATATATTTATACTTATAAAATATTATATTTTCAAAAATACTTTTACATATTTTATAATTGATAATATTGTTGTATATTATTAGTAGCATAATAATTTAACGTACACATTATTTCGGTAGAATCTTTGTGATTCGTTCAAAAACGATGTAATATAACTAATAACAATTATTCTGACTTGATTTTAAATCAATGTATGCGTCTATGTGATTTTTTTGATTATTATATGACATAGGAAATAATAAAATACTTTTGAAAATTACTTAGTACTTATTCAACTAATAATATAAGCTAGACTGGTATTGCTGCAGGCTTCCGTGAAACGATTTTTTTTACCCTAAATTACACATAATTTGTATTTTGGAAATGACCTATACACGTCTTATTCGGCAGTTGAAAAGTCGGTAAATGAACGTGAATGTGGGTAATATATTCAATGTTTTTATTTTTAGCTTTTACTAAATTTCAAATGTTGTCTTACACGTTGAACTATGTTGAATCATATTGGTGTGAGTTACATTCAAAATATTATTAAATAAATAATGAAATGTGTAAAAAAAATACATGTAACGTTTGATATAAAAAAATATTGCATCAATATAAATATTACTAAAGTATATAATTTTACAGAGTGTAGAGTTCATTCATACCTATATAATTATATTTCGAAAATAAATTGAAGCTCTTAGACTAGGACTAACTAAAAACAATATTCTTTTCCGAATTAAAACAATAGGTACATTTTAAAATTGATGACATTTTTATCGTTTTATACATGCAATTTTTGATTAATTTTAAAAATTAACTTATTTATTAATAATGTTTAAGTCTTAATACTTTATAATTATCGGCAGGTATGGGTTGCGAAAAAAAACAGATAGGTACATATTAATATATTATATTATAATATGCATGTTTAGAGGTACTTACGTGTGATGTATAGCAAGTAAATAAATCATACACACATCGCAACCAGAAGATTGCGATATGTGACACACCCCTAAGGCATATTAATAATTTTGACCGTTAAATCCTCGTAATAATTAATAATATTTCGCGAGCTCGTTTTGTGTCTGAAGTTTTTCCCGTCCATCGATTATCCGTTTTTGTCGCATTCCCACGCGTACGCATAATATACGCACGCCTTTTCATACGATCATGTGCTACAGGACGCGGACAAATTGCACGGTCTTCATGTATTTTTTTTCTATTAATATTTTTAATTTATCAAACGAGTCTCGCGTGAATTATAGTAATATTGTTTACGAGTGAAAAGTGCTGGCTACCACCGACCGGCACATCTATTCGATGTTACACTCGAATTGCCGACCCCACTCGAAGCGGTTAAACTATTAAATTATTACGTACTAATATTATGTACCGTGTATGTGTGTATTTATTGGAAACGCATTTTTGTTTTCCCGGAAATTATACCAATAATTAATATAATAGAATATTCAAGATCTGATGTGATTCCCTATGCCTACTACCCTAGCGAAAATCAGTGCCTATAGAGGATTCGTATATGCGATTTCCTCGGTGACATCGTAAAAACTTACTCGAATTTGGAATAATTTTCGGACCATTAATCATGTCTACCTTAAAAAATTTTTTAACGTCCATTGAAACCGAAATCTCTGCTATACTACTTATTCCGACGCTGCTCCAGATCGTGTCTTCGAGTGCAACCGTTTCGATCTTCACGTATCGTCGTCCAGCTGCTACAGTGCTCGTGCCTCGTATGATATATCCGTCCAAACGATATGTTATATTATTTTTTTCACAACCGAACGCCACGGTATAATAATACACATTTATGTACGATCTCTTTGAGTCTGTAGAATTCACAATATATAGAGTCCCAGACTGAGGCCGCAGTCGCTGCAGACTATCGTGCAATATATTATATTATTTATACCGTCCGATTGCGCGCAGTTTAGCAGTCTCTGGGACCGTTTCCAAAAATAGAGCTTCCTCATAATATACACTGCTCTTACTATTTAATTAATTGACATAAATCAATCGCGATTTGTGTACAGTATTGGCATATATTGTATATATGCATATTATACATAATAGTTTCGGCCCAGCCACTGCGGTCGGAATATAATATACTTAAACCTATACACGTCGTATCTCGTCGTAAATCGAGTTTACAATTAATGTCGAGTATCGATGTCGAATTATTTTCAATAAGCTAACACGTGTGTTATGCGTCTACTTATTTTATTTTCACCTTTCTGTGACGTTTCCAACCACGAAGTTTCGATGCTACGACTTGTTTTAATTTTCGTTTTATGTACCTATTACAAAAAGAAATATAATATGTATATAGTATATATTATATCAAGCACTAGACTGATATTTAGCCAAATAGCCTAGCCGTCGAAAAGTAAATCACGAACACATTATTTTAAAAACTCGTCCCGGTTTTGTTATATAAGAATATGCTCAATAACCTATACGGTTTTAGAGAAAATATCGATAATTATTATGATTATTACACACGACAAGTTAATTGGACGGAATTCTAATTTATCAGAGGATTGATTTAATAATTACGGTTTTAACTTTTAAAACCATTTTACGGAAATTACACACTTGCTTTCGAAGTTGTAAACGTACCTGCAGAATAATGGTTAATAATTAATAACTATATATTGTACGTAAAGAAATACAACAGAAGTATGCAGTTTTGTAGGAAAACGTCATTTAATTTATTACGAGTTTACGAGATGCAAACCTTTCATTTTTCAAGTAATAATTTATAGCTTTTTTACAGAGATCTATACATTTACTCATTTACATATATTCAATATTCATTGCATAAGCTAATTGAATAAAATCCATTAGCTAAATTCTTAGAAAAATAGCTCTACTTTTTTAAAAGTAAAAAAAAAACTTTTTTAATACAATCATATATTTAAACGTATAATATTTATAATATTTAAGGTAGTTTAAATAGGTACCTACCTAGTTTTGTTTTATGCGTTATGGCACATCCTTAAACAATAAAAATATCATAAAAATCGTACCATATTCATATTGTTTAACTAACATACTAGTTTAGGTTAATACTTAA